GGATATGTAATAAGTGACCCCAGTAACTGTAACATTCGACCTCGCATATGTGATTAGTTGTTACAAGTGCATGATTTTATATATTTTATTAATACTAGAAAGTTAATCATATTATTAAATTATAACAATAATTGTTGTCTAGCGTAAGCATATGACTATTGCAAAATGAATTATGGTTTATATTCTATTCATTAGTTACGCAAAAAATTCCTAAAAAAAATTATATCACTATCTACAGTCTCTCTTAACTCCGTGACTAACCCAAAAATTAATTTAGTTTTATTGCTAAAATATTGATTAGCGTATTCCAGAAGACACACGATAAAATTATAATAAATAAAACATTCTTTCTGAATTCGATAATTAATTTTATAATGCTCCTAAGCGGTTATCCATTCTAAGCCGAATCCCAACATAGCATGTTTGATCTCTGTAATAGGAAATTGCTCATTTGATAATCCGTGCTATAATTGTAACATATCTAATCAAAGATGAAAAAGATGAACATATATAAAAAATAATTAATGTTAAATTTAATTGCAATGTATTGAGAACATACTTAATATCATGTATGTATTATATTCTCATACCATATTAAAATTATTTATATAAAAACTAAATGTGGAAAAAGCATTTTTCGCATATTCGTAATAATTTTACAATATTTTTAGCGAAATGTTAAAGAATATTCAATATATATTTTTAGAGAAATATTACACAATTTTTGATAAAATCTTCGGAAGAATTTGCAGAGAAATTTCAAATTTCAAAAAAATGCTTTCATCAAAATTTTAGAAAAATTTTAGACAAATTTTAGAGGAATTCCAGCAAATTTTTGCAAATTTTAGCAAAATTTTCGGATAAACTTGCGAAGGGGAATTTTAATTTAATTTCGGTGATTTTTTTTGTATTTTTGTTGAAAAATTCACTTTTATTAAAATTTCAGCGGAACAGCAAATTTTCAATGTGTTTACTAAAATGTCAATTTTAGCAAAATTTCTATAAAGTTTCAGCAAAATTTTTTCACCAAAGAAGAGAACGATTTTGATGATATTTTGGACATCTAGGCAAATTGAAATAACTTGATTGAAATTGAATAATTGAATTTCAATGTAAGTACACATTGAAAGCTATTTCGAAAGCTATTACTACTATGAAACTTTAAACACAATGTAAGGCGATAGCGATAGAAATAATGGTAGCGATAAGAAACAGAGGAATCCAATTCGGGAATGCATGTGTTAATAGAACATAGGAACATAGAAGAAGACAATAATGACAACAGTACAAAAGTTGCAGCAATATTGCTGCAAATTTTGTGCTATTAGGGAATCTTGAAGCAGATAGAAGAATATACTACACAGTCTATACATAATTAAATTGGTTAGCCTTTTATTTCTTTCGCGGCATTGTGCAACGGGAAATGACAATTATATTCGCTTATTTTTTACTGTTCCTATCGCTGTTCTTGTCGCTGTTGCCTGCATTTAGGGCTTAAAAGCTTTCAACAATTGAAAGATGTTCTGAGTAGTGTACTGAAGTATGAATTATATTAAAAATTTTCATTAATAAAATTTGTATATTTTTGTTTCTTGATTTTTCTTGAATTCAATCGAAACTTTTTAGACAGACTGTGCCATATATCAATGCATTTATTGTTTAAGAATTGATTTCGACCTGGTTTATGTTTCCAGTCCAGTTCGTTTTAATTAATCACCTTTTCATCTCGATGTGAATCACCGAATTTCTCGGCGTATTGCGCGATAGCCGAGCAGTTAGCAGTCGACATTCGCCAATTATTTTGTAACACCTCTTCCTCTTGTTTGCCGATCTTTTCTTTCTTCACGAGGTCAACAATCGTTGTGACGGTGCCGCGATTCTTCATAATCAATCTCTGTCGATTTTTCTCAGTTTTGGCAATTTTTTGATTTTGCGTAGCAGACGTAAACTGACCGGTACGTAGAAGCGGAATCATTGTAGCCATCGTTCCGCGATTACGAAGATCCGGCTCGCCTCGGCCGCCTCTCGAGAGCTCCCTGTGCTCCATTGGAGCACTTCCGCTACTACCACCTCTTCTTTCGCCTTCGCCGCTTGACAGCTGGTCGTGATTTTCAATAGGCATCTCTCACCGCGTCTCAAATTAAGTTTCATAGAACATTTATTTTAGGGATCGTCCATTTCTTCCAATCTCGGTGTTTGTATGAAACGTGCATTAAAAAATTGATTGGATACTGTCTAACTGGTGGTATACCTTTCTTTCTCTGAAAAGATCTCTGTTGCAATCGATTCTCTTGAAACGAAAACGGATGACTGTTTCATAAAAGTCAACGAACTTTGTTTCATAAAAGAACTGACATCAATGAATTGAATTGCTTATCACTGATTATTTATTGATTGGCACTGATTCGTTGATCCGCGACGATCAGAGAGTTTCTCTCGGATTTGGTGCAACACGCACAGTGCGAACCGTTTCTTCTAGCGACAACGACTTGGAGACGACAGCGGCTCCATCGTATGTATCGTCAAACGTTGAATGCACGCATGCGCTGAACCAAAGATTTTCAAAATGTCCCTCTAGCACTTCAGTCGCCACTGCGACTTATGACTATCTTTAATGCAATGCACCCTTCTCCCGCCCTCACCCTTCAACATGTTGCGCGAATTTCCGCAAGTGCAACTAGTCGCGTGTTTTAATCAAGTGGATTGTGTCTCGTTCGTCCATTGTGGATGCACTTGGAGTGTATCTTTTCTTCGTTTCTGAGATATAGCGCGGCGCCACGTAACAATCAATAATTCAAAAATCACGTGGCTCACATCAAAAACATGATTATATAATGATAATAATCATTTTTTGAAAATGGATATTAAAACGTATGCAACTCGTCCTGTAATAAAAATGTTTTTTTCAGTTTATTAATTCTTAATTTTGTAGATCCAATAATCAAAATGTTTATGTTATTCATTTAGGGCTCGGCGAAATCTATACTCTATCTAATATCTTGGGATGAGATAACAGCTATGAACCAAATTGAAAATCGGTCGAAATATGCTGATTTTCCCGAGCTCTGAATTAATCGTTTTCATATTGTGTTAAAAACATGGTTCTAATCAACAGTAGAATTTGCACCTCTTTCGTAATTTCTACACAGAATGTATGCGTCACATAATAAATACTATTTTGAATCATTTCGATATTTTTCATAATTCATTATTTGTTAATAAAAAATATGAATAGATACTGACTCGTGGATAACATTCGATTTCAATATGACTAATGCATATTCAGTTGAAACTTGGAGCGAGAACGAAAATATTTATTTCAGTTTTCTTTCTCCGGGACAAAGATACTACGTGCAGCAATTGTAAGATTTCGATAAAAACAAACATGTTGTGTTTCTCTTCTCTAAGATTCACCGTTGTGTTTCAAAATGAAGGTACATATGTAATGCAAAAGACTCTGATTATTATTTTTTCATTCAATCCATCAGCTCTGTGATATATCATATCCCAGACACCACATAATATTTACAAAATATTTATAAATATTTATAAGGCTATTTTTAATATTTTGTACATATTTTTGTGATTTTAGATTGCATAGATCATAAACATTTATTATAAATATTGTGAAATATTTATTGCAAACCTTGTAATAAATGCTAGAGAAATACTTAATAAGACATTATAATTCAAATAAAAAATATTTAACAGAAATATTTATTTATATTTACATTATTACATTAATACATAAATATTACATTAAATATTTAGTCTATCTTTTAATAATATTTCGAATAAAGCTTTATATCAAATATGTATAAAATATTTATATAACATTTCAAAAAATGAATAATAAATATTTATCATAAATATTCCGTGCTGTCTGAGATGTGTCAACGTCTTGCCGTTTATGGTAATATACTGCTCGTTCGCGCGGTCCACACGCACAATATTTTATGCCATGCGTTTTGTAAATTCGTAACGTCATAACGCGCGATTAAAACATGTGCAACTGATTATACTTTATCTATGTACTCGCTCTTCATGTTTCTTTAACGAATAATTTTCTCTTCGATATACAAACAATCATCAAGATTGTTCAAATCCAGAATTGCCTGAGGAATAACATGACAACATAAAGGTAAATGTATTCCAGTGATTTTATATTAATAAAAAGATATGAGTTCTATATTAGATATCAGTTCTATATTATTATTGATTATTAATTATTATTAATTATTACAAAAAGAATTACTATTCATATAAAATCTTCTTTTATCTGTGATCAACACTATCATAATCAAATCAAATTAAAAAAAATCATTAGGGTGATATCGATCATGTTTAAACTTTATTCGAGATTTCATTTTTTTGGATTAAAAATCAAATATAATATATATAATATAAACCTTTATTCTTTTACCAAAACATCCTCTTAATCATATTTTTAAAAAATAAAAGTAATAAAAGTTTTTTAATTTTAAAATATCATTATATTTTTCATGTTACGAAAATTGGAAGGTAATATCTCTCGGACAAATATATATTTTTAAAAATAATGTTTATTTACATGAATTGCGAATTTCTTCTTCTCTTTCCATTTGTCTCGTATCTTTCCCATATTCATTTGGAATAAAACTAGGGTGACCAGACATCCAGTTTTTCCTCCATGTCCCCATTTCTTTTTTAAAATGTTTGGGAACGTCCTATGTTTTCAGCATGTCCGAGGAGTACTCTTTTTGATACTCATTTTGAGAGAGAGCGAGGGAACCGGAAATTATTAAGTTCATCGCACATAATATACACAGTAAGATAATCACTAGATTATTAATAGGGGAAACTGGGGTACTATGAGTTACGGGATACCATAGATCGACTGTTTACAACATAATCTAGAATGTTTAAATTAATATTGCTAGTACAATACGACTATTATTGTTTTTTTCTGTTGCTCATATTTTTTATCTTGGTGGCAGTGATTAAATTCCATTATATCCAAAAGCATTGATTATTAATGGTTTTCGTGGGGCAATAGTAACTTTTTAATCGCAAAAAATGTTTTAATTTTTATAGTATTTTTGTAGTAGAAGATGCATGTATGAAGATAAGATACAAGTTTTTGCGCATCTTTTCTCATCTTACTACGTTACAAGTAATAATTTAACGTTTATTTTTTATCGTTTTCTATTAAATGTGTAACTGGAATAGCATAGTCATACATTAAATATTCATGATAAAACGGAACAATAGAAAATATTTATATTAAAAGGGCGCAGTTTATACTTCTAAGCAAATAATTTTATCGTAATAAATTTTTTTATCTTATCAAGTTGTTTTCTTATATATAATTTTCTATTGTATTATTTAATAATTATTAGTTGTAATTATATTTTATTGTATTAGTGATTATGCTAAGAATGTTTAAGTTAATGGAAAATACTTTTTTTAATTTTTGTCACCGTTATTTCTTGCATTAATTCTATTATTTTGTGTGTGACTTATGATACCCCGAGTATGGGGCATTATGGATATCATTTCTTAAAAAATATATTTTTATGTTTTTCTTAAAAACTAATAAATATTTATTAAATATACTTATTAAATTTAGAATATGCATTATACTTTAATTATTAAAAAGAAATGACACAAATTTTTATATTTAGATATATGGTACTTTTGAATTTTTGTTACTCATAGTGTCCCAGTGTATCTGCGATAAAAAATTGGAAATTGGTATTATTATATTATATTATAATTTATTATAATATAATTATCGACGGTTACTATAGCTACAACAATGTCATATGTCCCGAGGAAATACAGAGAAAAATACAGAAACATCCAATTTGAACAGAGATTCAGATTATAAATGTAAGTAGGATAGGAAATGGAAGACTGTTCTCTTCATAAATCAAGGAAGACCTTCTCCTATTCCACAACATATCCCTCCTCTACAATGTCTACATAAAGGGAGTTTCCTAGAGGAGTAGCTTAGTATCAGTGCGTTCCTCGCCCTGATAAAGTGAACGGCAAGGTTCACGAAACGTTGACATTAATAATAAACAAAAATATGGCGCGATAATCCGCAAACCTTCTGGTATCTTTAAAAATGACAGCCATGGAAGCCTAAAAAACGTTATATTAAAATCGTTTTTTTGCTAATCCTATACATTTTTAGGATTTTTAAATATATTCTTTTTTTTCTACTTTTTTGAGTAAAAATGTACAACTTACTATTATTTAATTTAAAATGTTCTATGAAACAAAATAAATTATAAAACTCTAAATATTACAATACAAATGTTTCGACACCGATTGAGTCATTCTCAATGCTAACAAAAAATTCTTAAAATCTATCGCTTAATAAAAATTATATAAATACATGTTAAATTCTGAAATACTCGCCAACAATGTAGTTTTTTAGTTCTTCTCAACGATGTGGACTTCACGAATAATAAAGGCATGTTTTCTATATGTTCTTGCAAAAAATTGTCCTATTATAAAATGTTGTCCAAAGATAAAATTCTCATTGTCGTATAATATTGCAAGTATTCCGAGATAGAAGTAAACCATAAAAGAATCTTCTTATGAACACTTTAATTTTCATTAAAAGAAGAAAAAATAATAATAGTTGCTTATTCCCATCTTATAATTGAGCAAATTGCAATCACAAGAAAGATGTGCAAAGACTATATAGCGTCTCAATCAAGAATATGTAACTCAGAGGAGAGTTTATGGTTTATTTATCTTTGGACAACATTTTATAATAGGACAATTTTTTACAAAAACATGTAGAAAACCTTTACTATTTGTTCACATCGTTGAGAAGAATTAAAGGACTACATTGTTGGCGAGCATTTCAGAATTTAACATGTATTTATATAATCTTTGAATAATTTTTATTAAGCGATAGATTTTAAGAATTTTGTTAGCATTGAGAACCGATCGGTACCGAAACGTTTATAATATTTAGAGTTTTATTTATTTTGTTTTATTTTTGTATTTCTGGCTCGTAGCCTTTCTTATAAATTTGACTTTATTTATTATTATCGAATCTTATTATCTTTTATTTTTTTAAATGTTCTCTTTTTTGTCCTGCTTTTGAGTCTTATTGTTAGTGTCCTACTTTTGCTATTTCAATTATGAATGTCCTAGTTTATCGAATTAAATTTAGTCACCCTTAACAAAACTGTGTATCTGAAGCCAAGTTTCGTTGACTTTAAGGGGATCCTAAAAATGATTAATCATATTGTAAATAGCATTTACACATACACGTTTTACATGTCATTGTCACATCATACTATTACATTAATATCTCATTACGCATGCCACATACACATTTTCGTATAACAATAATATTTTAATTAGATGTCCAAGAATTTCTTGTTGTTTCTTCATGCAAATTATTAGTCTGTGTACTACCGTAAGTAGTTTCGTAAGTACAGATTGCACAGCTTTTATGCAGAGTAAATGTTGTCA